TAGCTGGGATCTGAGCGCACAAAACTACCGAATAGCGCTCAGATCCTATTCACACAGTTCAATTGCCATGGAGCCGAAGTCTTTAACTACACGAATGGGCTCCATGGCATAGCTATCTGGGTTAATACATTCACATAAAGTCTGGTCCATAGTCCAAAGGCAAGAGGCGGGCAAGCAGCCCCCTCCAAGGGCACGTGGCGAGGCCGGTTTCGCCACAAGGATTGTGGTTGCCGTCTCACCAGATCAGCCCACAACTGGATGCAGGCTCAACAGGCAAAGACCCCAGAGGAGACTACAAGTCTTTCTGCTGGAGCAGTTTTACAACTGCCTCCCCTCAGAAGTTCAAGAATGGGTAAGGGACAGATGACCCTTAAGCCTAACCGAGGCAGCAACACTTTCTAAATATGATAAAAATGAGGCTTGAGTATTGATCTGTAGGTGGATATTGGTGTCTCCTTTTGGATATGATATTGAAACACAAACCAGTTTCAGAGTCTTCTATCCTGGAGATTGAATTGATGCTTGTTTTGTGATCCAGTCCATATCAAAGGACTCCTTGTCTAGAAAGGAATTAGGACATATGGCAAGTGAGAGTTAGTTTATACTGAAGCCAGACTTCCAGGCCACTTGTGTGTGACTTCTCACACCTTGCAGAGTGGTTCTGTTGGGGTCCTAGCTTCAAAGAGGGATTTGGGTTGAAAGCTCTGACCTCCCATGCAATCTAATTAGCCCCTTTTGAAAATGTATGTTTGGAGTGTTTTAGAATCTTGTATATTTTTCTGTAGAGGATCCTGAGAGGAAAAGCCCTGTATTATTGTATGGGAGACCCCATGTAGGGGGTCTGTGCATAAAAACTGTGTGTGATCAAATAAACCTTAGTTGACTCCCAGAACTATGTTTCGTCTGGTTACGGGGGGAATAGATGTCTGTGTGCTTTAATGGTTCCAGAGTGGTAGGTTACCCGTGGTCCGCAACATATAGCATATAGTCAGTTCACCGGCTGCATATTTGGATACATTCTACTTGGCAAACAACCTGTGTGCTGCTAAACACCCATTTTCCCCTTCTGTCACAGTATACATTTCCACTAGGAAAGACAGAGATTCCTTGACACAATCTGTCAACAAACGAAAAGCTTGGGTTCCCACTCTTACACTTTACAGTTTATGGGTATGTTTGCACATTTACTCATTGGCCTGTGTTACCCTTAAAGGAACACAAAAACTATAGAATTAGGAATACAAATCTTTATTTTCCAACTGCTTCGTGAGTTATAAAAATTATTTTTTAAATAAGGTGTTTATGATTTTTCCACAACTGACGCTGCCTTGAAGACTGAAAGCTGTGAGTTCGAACGAAAAGTAGAAAGCATGGAACAATTGGTTCAGGCTCCCAAGAAGCTGTGGAGAGCAATTGAGCACACCAGGAGCTTGAGTTGATATGATGGGACTTCTAAAACAGAGACCATTTCCCACCTGTGGAGATAGGACCCCAAAACACGCCCAAGCCAAGCGCACTTGCATCAGACTTATCAACAAAGTGCAGAGAGGTACTGAAGATTGCTCGACTGTTCCAAGCCACCATGTGTTGAAGCAACTAGGAAAGTTCCTCTTTGGCTGTGTAGTAGAATTGTGATGGAATAGGAAAAACCCAAATGTAGATTGCTGGATTTGACACCTTGAAGGGCACAGTAGTGAAGAGGTCCTGGGAAAATGGCCTGAATCAAGGCTGATAAGAGTCAGATCGTCCTAGCAAGCTGTCGAGTGATAATGGGGCAAGACAGCACCCAACTAATCTCCCTCCTGATGTTCTTGATTTTGGAGTCTGGTAGATGAAGGGTCCTGTGGATGCAATCAACTTTGGCCGGAGTTAACGTGAAGATGAAATACAATATAGGAACGTCAGACGAGCCAAAGTCAGGGTTAGAGCAGGAAGAGTAAGCGGTAAAGCAAAGCTAAGGGTCAAGGAAGCCAGAGATAAGAATAACCAGAAGATAAGCCGAAGTCAGATACCAAAGAAACACAGGTTAACAGAACGCACTCTCTGGCTACAAGAAACCACGACAGGGCAAGGAAGTGATGTAAGAAGGAGGTATAAATAGGGCTAGGTGAGATCTGATAGGTTAGGGATAGAATAGGGTAGAATATAAATAGAGAGCAATTACCTGGGTACTATCCCTTTAAGTATTTTGGGACAAGCCGCGCGCACCCCTGTTGGAAACAGCACATGCCGCCCGACGGAGGTCTGCACAACCCAGCAGAACAGGAGAGACGGCGGGACCGGAACAGCGCGGGCCTCATGTAGGTATGACAGCATGTAAATAATCAAAAAGTAGAATAAGATACAATAGGAAGGGATATCTAATAGTGATAATATAATAGCTCAACATTAAAGAGAAACCTCTGCCAGAGGACAACGATAATGCAGAAAAGGCAGCAAGCAAAGTCTTTACAACTAAATACAACTACTCTTCACTTACCCATGTGCAACGCTATTTTTGGATTTCACAGTTAAATATGCATGCTTCAGGTTGGGTTTGACTATCAGGTCTCCTAACAGATCCCAAAGGCAATCAATATCTTCCATGGAATATTGGTATGCCAAAAATGCATTCAAAGGGCGAAGATATTTAAATGGACGCACTCTTTCACCCTTCTTGGGAACCAGAAAACCCAGAGTAGAAGTATATAGCCTTATGATGGTGCCTTTCTCTTCCACGATTTGAATCTCTGTGGACAACAGAGACTCGTCTCGTGATGAAAAGGTCCTGTTTTTCATATTTCCTCTCCACAGTATTAAATAAAAACCCCATTCTCATAAAAAGAATTGAAGATGGGGGAAGTGTTAAGAAGAGAGTGGGACTAAGTTTAAATGGACATTTAATCAGTATAATTTTCTGAGCTGAAATTGTCAGTATCAGTCTCTGCTTCTGCATCTACTCTTTTTTTTTTGTCCGTCATCACAATCAATTAGGAACTTCTAAAAACGGAAGGTTTGCCCAGATCAAAACAAGCTTCTCTACCCTTTCACATGTCAGTTTATTTCTTGACTTAGTGTGAGTGTTTCCAAACATAGACCAGATTCTTTCACATGCTGCAGAAGCTGGAGGTATCTGGAGGAGGCGAGAAGCAATAGGAGTCAGAGGCTGTGTTGTGCAAAGACCTTGCCACCATGTTGCAGGAGGAATATGTTTGGCAGAATCCCAGATTGCATTCCTGGACCAAATCCCTGAAGATGTTCTATATTCTGCAACATTTGAAAGTACCTTCCCAACATCAAGTCCTAAATGTGATGCTTGTTTTGTGATCCAGTCAAATACAGTAGCAGTGTCATCATCACTTATGTTTGCACCTTTGAATCTTGGATCCAACAGATTTGCAGCAGCATGAATTGGATGACAACAAAATTCTTCCCTTTTTTAATAAAATCTTTCACTTTACTTTCTTCTATAGTTGTAAGTGGAGATATACTGAGATTTTCAAAAACAGTTGTTTTTATCTTGGTCATTAGATAAGGAATTTCTGACAAAAGTGCACTATATGATTTAGATGCAGTGATTGCTGCAGCAATTGGCTTTAGAATCTTCAGGGAATTTTGCAGCTGAACCCAGAAGACATCCTGATCAAGAACAGTTTCTTACACTCCTGGGTACTTTAAGATCTTCAACTATTACTGTTTCTTGAAGAGCTTCTTTGTTTTTTGCTAAACTTTCAAAGGAGATCACCACTTCAGCCCACCGAGTTATACTACAGAGCTTCAGCGTAACTACTATTCTTTGCAATTTTTCGACTTGCTTCTTCTTGAAAACTGCAGCTACAATATGAGTACCTTTTACATGTTTAATAACTTATTTTGCTCGTCTATAGACCATTTGAAGGTTGTCCAACTTCATAATATCAGTAAAAAGCAAGTTTAGCCCATGGGCTGCACATCCTATTGCAGCAATATGTGGATACGTCTCCATTATAATTTCCCATGCTGCTTTCATATTGCTGGCATTGTCAGTAACCAAAGCAAATACTTGACCACTCCCAATTTTCTGTAGGACATCACATATTTTACAGCTGATATACTCTGCAGTATGTCTGTTCTCTCCTGTTTCAATGCTTTTGTAAAAAAAATGGCTAAGGTGTTATAACAAAATTTATAATTCCTTCTCCTCTCACATTTGTCCATCTATCTCTAAGTAGTGCAAGACACAGTGCTTCATTAATTTTTTTCCTTGCACCGCTTCCATTACACGTTCATATTCTGACTCCAAAAGAGGCTTGCTCAAATAATGTTTGCTGGGCAATTGGTATGATGGTCTTAATTTCAAAGCTTCCTGCCAGTATGTATTTTCAGTTATTGAAAATGGCGTTCCAGAAGAATATATTGCTCTTGCAAGAACTTGATCAATTTTTTCCTGATCTTCAGGTGTCATCTTGTCTATAAATGAAGTTAGTGAATAATTTTTGGATGAAGCTGTCTTCAGTATCTGTTTGCTTGAATATGCTGCTGATGGGACAACACTTTGTGTTGCTGCTGACGTTATAGATGGAGTAGAAAGAGGACTTCTTGAATGAGAACGTTGAGAAAAACTATGTGCATTGTTGTCCTCTTCACTTCGATCCATGAAGGATTTTTTAATATCTACAGGACACTTGTTACATACAATAATGTGTTTTGTCATCCTGGTAGCATGTGGAAATGCATATTTCATCTGACAATATTTGCAAATCACATTTTTCTTTTCAGAAGAACTTGTAATGTGAAAATGCCTCCATATGCTAGATGTTGGTCTCACCATTTTTCTGAGGGGAGTAGGAAATAAAAACAAGAAAAAATTACTACTTTGCAAGAAGACACTAATCTATGGTTGTGTGTGGGGGTCACTGGGTGAAGAACCAGATTACTGGTAATTAAATTTATTATTTGCACAAAAGTTTATAAAGATAAACTAATGTAGCTAAATGATTCAGTTTTCTGGATTCAGAATCAGATAAATGTAAACTCTTACGTTTTTTAATTAAGTATATACTTTCAGGTCCTTTTTGTTGCTCTGTATTTTCTTCTAATACTTTTGAGGCCTAGTGAAGAGGACAGAACAAACCAAACACACCCACTAACATGCAAAAGCAAAACTGAAACCTTTTTCTTGTTACAATAGCAGCACAGCACCTCCTAAGGGAAGAAATGCATACTGTTCTTGCTTTGGAGGGTTCAGTTTGTTACCTAGGACTTGCTTGTCCTCACTCAGTGCACAGAAATTAGAATAATCTGATATCATACATTTTTTTATTTTTATTTTTTTTTTTAGAAATGATTTGGAAAATATTTGAACACCCTGTGTTAAAATATTTTATTCATCATGTCAAAATAAAATATTCCACAATTTTTTTTTCTTTTTTCCATTTTTCCAATTTTTTTTCCCAAAATTTTTCGTTTTTTTTTTCCAGGCCTTTACATCTCTAGTGGGGGACGTACAAAGTCGATGCATTGAATGGTTTGTAGAATCCAGATCTGATGTCAATGTCTCCTACTCTCCGAAAAAGATAGGGAGCCTACCACCTATTTTAGTTAGGGAAAAAAGGTAAATTGATTGTGGACTTACCATAGGAGCGCTGGCCATGAGATGCCTCTCTGATTACATGAGACTACCAAGGTCTTCTATGGGAAAGAAGAGGGATGCGGTCCTAATGTCATTGGAGAGAACACTAGTTTCATGTTAGTCTGTGCTTTATCGAGTGCAGTAAATGTGCTAACATATGTGCCAATCTCCTTTATGAAGTTGTCACCGAAAAGATGTTTTGTCTGTGGCCCAGGCTTTGTAATGGCTAGATTCACTAGCTTAGGTTCCATTTTAATTTGAATCACCTTGCGTCTCTTGTAGCCAAAGCTGTATTTGCATCCCCAATCATGCAAATTGATAGTTGAATCTAGTTCTGGATGGCATGGAGGTTCTTCCCTCTGCTAAGACTGTTTCTACCATATCAAAAATCCTAGCAATTGGATCTAGAATGTCAAGTTATGGAGGGAGAAATCCAGGCCTTTTTTGACCTTCCATCCAGATTTTCCCAGAAACTGTGCATTTTTGGATCGACATCGGTAGTGACAGATGCTGAGTCAGTGACAGACTGGAGAGAATATCGTGCCCTAATTTTATTCCTAGCTGCCTTATCAAGGGGCGTTCAAGCTCTCAGGGTGATGTATTTGACACCATAGTTAGGTCGGATACCATTCCGCAGACCTCAGAAGCTGCAGGCTATCCGTAGTGGTTTACCTTGTGAATCAAGGGGAATGGATTCATCCTTTATGACTTTAGAGATCTTAGATAGGCTTCAATCAGGAGAGGGACTGTCAGAAGCCGAAGTCGTATTGATTAATGGGATATTTGCATTTGATACCTCCTCAGAAACCGACTCTGTCTGTAGTGTCAGGGAGACTTTTGACTCTCCAATTTTGCCCGGCAGGGGGGGGGGGGTTCAATTATGTGGTGCAACCATGTCATCATGAGTGACAGGAAGTACCCTGCCTGAAACAAAAAAATATTGGAGTTTACCAGCGAGATGGGACTTACTAGAAGTCTTCCAATCATGTGAAGGTACCATTGAGTTTTGTCTGAGGGGGAATGAGATGGATGCTGGGCACGCAATATGGCATAACTAATGGTGTGAGATGGATTATCAGACATTAATCCCATGGTGCAGTATATCCCCTGTGTGACCAATTTGGTAATTGTTGCATCAAGGAACAAATGGAATTCCTCAGAATTATTTTGTTCCAGCAAGACCTCATTATCCCAAAAGAGTAAAGGATCCCAAGACTGGAAAGGGATAATTGGGCTAGCTAGAGGATGGTCCAGCAGTGGACATCTCCTGGCCAGCAGTGAATTGCATGGCAGTACTAGAAAATAGGTCCTGCAAAACAGCCTGGTGGAAATATGAACCAGAAAACCAGAAAGGGTAGTATCAGGCAAGAGTCAGGACAGAGGACGCAATAATAGGTGTTGATGCAGCTGTACTTAACTAGTCCACAAGTGGGTAAATCAGCTAAGGATAAAACAGACTGTAAGCATGGCACTCACTAATAACAGCACAGTATGCAGTACACCAAGAAAAACAACAAAAAGCATGGGCTAGCTTATCAAATGATTTTGGGGAATACAGTGGCAAGCTGCCCAGTAACAAGGGTGGACAATCAGGGCGTTCGTGCATTGGAACAAGCGTCAGAAGCAGAGGAAGAAAAATGCAGAAGGTGCAGAACGCACATGCATGAGCTGCGGCTGGTGCACCTCCTACAAAAGGACCAGCAGGGCAGCTCAGAGTGCAAGGGAATCGCACAAACATGGTTAACAACTAACCCATTAAACAGGGTGTGACAAATTATCTTCATTTTATTGACTTTCCTGTATGTTGTCACCCAAAAGGACTATTCTCACTACTCCTGGTTCCCTGCACCTTCCCCTCAAAACCAACTTCCCTGAAGCGCCCTTTTCCTCACAGTAACCGGAGTTCAGAAAACCACCAAGATTGTAGCGGGACTTATGTGCAACTGTCCGTCCGCGACTAGTCCCGACTCCCAACCAACCTCCACCCCGGTTTTCCTATACTTCCATAACAGCTACAAGAGCACTTTTTGGAGGAAACGTACCTCAGACTGTGTGGAACAATTGCTCCCTGGAAGCCAGGAGGATCGTTGCTTTATTTGTCCACAGGAGCTCCCAACATTTGATCGGCCTAAGCACTAATTGTGTTTTACACCCCACCTCCTATAGACTGTAAACATGTTTGAGCGGGGTCCTCATCAACCTATCATTCCTGTAAGTTTTCTTGTAATTGTCCTATTTATAGTTAAATCCCCCCTCTTATAATATTGCAAAGCGCTACAGAAATTGTTAGCGTTATATAAATGGCAATAATAATAATAGCTCTGGAACTCTTTTGGGCATGGACCACGTGTGCAGCCAATCAAAACTTTACCCCAGTGGTGTTTTGTCATCTTTTCGTGGATCTGGGTGCTATTTTGCCAACATGGGCGCTTGGATCAGAGCTATCTAGGGATAAATAATGTTGGGTTCCTGTATGTTTTTATGATGTTTTTAGGGGTGTTTTTGTGTTGTGCTGTCTGTATCCAGGAGATAATTAGTTTAGTTTAGCGAGCAGCAACTCAATTATCTCCCAGACTCAGAGGCACCAGGGTGGGATCACTGCATTGTAAATAGGAACTGCCACACAGGGGACAATTCCTGGATGGTAATAGGTCAAGGAAAACAATAACGCAAAATATAGTATGACACCTATACAGTACACAAAGCATAAAAACAAGGTAGTGTAATGTGGCAAATATAGAAGAAATTAAAATACAGCAATACCAAACATTGGTCAGGAAACATAAAATGCAGCACACGCTTGCTAGAACAAGATTGAGGTACTTGGCTGAGGAGACCACAGCAAAGGAAGAGGAATGGTTTAGGGTCACATGGCTGGATATGTGCTGTAAGATGTTCTTATTGGCTACTGTAATGTTGTTAACCCTTGCTAGAGCTATTGCTTTTTATTTTCTAATAACTATATACAATTATTTATTTGCTGCTGATGAAATTAAAGAAAGAGATAAGCATAATATTCACCTCCATGTCTTTTAATGAAATTGTTATATCCTCATTACAACCAAAAATATAAATAATTCAAAAGAATAGAAAATGCTGGCTGGGCAAAAGTGACTGCACTGTTTTGTTGATCTGCATAATGGATCATTTTTTCAGGATCCTATAGAAGTTGCTCCAAATGTTTTTTGGAGGGGGGAGGGTTGTTTATATTGCCGACGCATTGACATTCTCACTCCCACAACAATGGGCTGCTCTTAATTTCCCCACATATGCATGAATGTGCAATTTCATGCTCAGTCAGAGAGAAATTAGAGGTAGCAAGGCTAGCATCAGGAATATAGATAGAAGACAATGCCACAACTACAGCAAAAACCCTTCTTCTACTGCCACCTACCCCAGTATGTAAAACTTAAGACACACAGTGTGCACTCCCAGGTCAGAATGCCAGGCAGCCATTGACTGGTGATGTGGGTTCCATTGGGTTGACTGATGGGTGCTCTGTGTGGTTATCTTTAGGGGTGACTGTGCTTTGTGTGATGTAGGTTATGTAGGTTCACATATTTGTGTGAATTTATGCTTCAAGAGTGGGTTAAGTGTCTCAATTGAATTGGGTTAAAATCATAATCAACAGATCGGCAACTTGTGGGGCCTTGTTTGCATGAGCGTTGTGAGAGTTGTAATGCCTATCATCATTAAAGGGACACTATAGTCACCAGAACAACTACAGCTCCCTTCAGGCGTTTTCATGTAAACACTGCCTTTTCAGAGAAAAATAAGGTGAGTTTTAAACTTTTATAGGGGGGCTAAGGAGAGGGGAGGTCAAGCGCCCTATATGGTGAGTTTAGCACTATAGGGTCAGGAATACATGTTTGTGTTCCTGACACTATAGTGATCCTTTAATCTTCCTTGCCCAGCATAATCAAATTTAGCTTGCCACATCTTTTAAATCAGCTGTCAGCTGCAACAACTGATGCAAAAAAAATGTTCTCACGCTATGTGCAATAGATGCCCAAGACATCACATTGTACAAAAGTTCTTCTGTGATCTCACAGAATCTTTTGTAGGACTCCATTTTGTACTTTCCTTCAAGAGTGCAAAGATAATGTGGTTCCAAGCAAAATCACCTGACAGTAGGTGTAACATTTTATGAAAGGCTACCTGCTTCTCACAATGGATGCCAGCATTGAAGTGGATATGTCATATGAAAAGTCCTGGCCACACAGAAGCGTGGCTATGGCCATATTATCAATAAATATATTAGTGGCTTAGCTGTGTAAGAAAGCACTAATTGTATAATTTTTATTTGCTTAGATATACTCAGCAGATATACCAAGTAAAGAGAACATAACAAGGCTATGATAGAAGCTAATGCAGTAGGTTTTTAGAGGTCTACCTGCAATATTACAATATATTATTATGTTTTAGTGTTTAGTTTTCACAGAAAAAGAAGCAGACTAGTACAAGTCACAGAATAACAAAAGTATAAAACACAACAGGAGAGCTTCAATGCAATCATTGCTAAATGTTGTATCACCAGTATGAACATCAATACAATGTATTTATTTTCAACTTAATTATTTTGACATTTGTGGGAGATCACGGTTTTCTTCTGTCAACCTACCTAAGGGGAGGATGACATTCCTAAAT